TCCATATCTCTTATCGCAACAGGTCGCTCACTCACTTGATTTGATTGAGAGCAAGCTTCACTCCCCATCCCACTCCCAACTGCTGACGGATCGACAACGTTGTCATTTAGCTCACTATGCAGTTGGGTGGCAGCGGCATTGCCAGTAGATTGCTGCTCCGCTTGGAATGCTGGTGAATGGGTGCGATCAGGTGATCGCGGTATTTTTGGACACCTACGAAAAGGGTATGCAGACTTACCTGGGGAATTCATACTTTCACTCATATTTTGTTTGCTAGTGCTCGTATGTTCCTCGACCACTTTAAACTGGGTTTCACCATGCACTCCACCATACCGTAGTGAGCTAGTGTCCATGCGGGGGGTGTGAAACCTCGCTTTTTCACTTGGCAGTACTTTTTTCTGCGTTTTGACAACTTTGTATACACGTGCGGTTGACACTTCTTTATTTGCCCCTCTGTTTGAGGGTACAACAAAAGTTTCGAGCACTTTTCACTCACTCTCTCTCTTTGCTTATATAGTAATAGCCAGAGATTTTGTTTGGATTTTCACAAATAAGACACGATAAAAAATCTCCACTTTCGGTGGAGAACCTTCGCTAGGCACCAAGTCACAAGCGGTGGTGTATTCGCGCACTTTTTTGCACCTTTGGTATAATTCCACGGGCACTGTACAATAATTTTGATTATTAATTTGCGAGCTTTAACAAACACGATTCACAGAGAGAATACGTATGTATATACCACGATCCAGAAAATAAAGGTCGCGCCATTCGCGGACCGCTAACCCTCTCTTCGTCGATTTGACAGCATCCACCCAATCGCTGACGTCATAATATACTTTTGTTTACATTCATTGTTGCCAACTTGGTGCTTTTCGCACCAAATTTAGTGGGTATTCAAAACGCGAAAATTTTTGAGTTTTGTGCTTGGTGCGTTTTTGGTGCTTTTGTTTTTAGTTTGAAGACTTAAAATTAGAAAATCTTACAAAAATGGAAGCAAAATTTATAGCAATCGTAAGTGTTCTAAGCAATTTTACGAAAAATTTAAACAAAATCATGGCACAGTGACAATCATAAGCAACAACGAAATATGTGCAGCACCTTCAATCATGCCAGAAGAAATCGACCGTTGTGCAAGAAACATTGATTTTTATTAATTTGAATCGGCATCCTTACAACAAAATTATGTATTCATATAAAGTCCATAAAATACACCAATACAAATTTGGTGCTTTTTCAGATTGAAAACTGGGCAATACTGCCTTTTGTTCGATGCTTCTTCTTTTTCTTGTTGAGTTCGTCTTGCTCTCTCATTCTGGTATATTTTAACGTTACTCTCAGCTCGATTGGCGCAATCTTGTATTCTATCACTCTTGTGTATATACGTATAGATACATATGTGCATAGATACTTATGTGCATAGATACATATATAAGTGTCCGCATATATTTTTTCTCGTCACTTGCTCTGCCGCTTCACTGCAGCAAAACCAAGTTGTGGGAAAACCCTGACGATATGCGTACAATTGAAACCATAGGTTTGAAGATAGCGTAAATTGATGTGAAAATTTCAATTTCTTTAAATATATTTATGTATGGATGTACATCCCTGCAAGAACAGTGACT